TATAAACATTTGCTGGATTTGAATTGCTTAGGTCCTTTCACTAGTTCTGTGACCGTCGGTAAGTCTGGTCTGTAAGGTAATAACAATAATGACACCATCTGCTTTTTATGGTTATTGTGAGGAAAGTACTTTTTAAACTGTAAATCACTGACATGGGCCTGCTGAGAGGACAGGTGAGGCCTCAGAATGTACTGCCAAGCATACAGTTGTCACTGACCTTGTGTCATAGAATCTTCACTACCCTTTGGTATGTTCTACTCTTAGACTTCAGGCAGTTTTCAGCACAGCTCAGTGCATAAAACTTTCCTGACACGGGGGAATACAAACACAGACACTCAGGGGAAGTCATTCAGAAACACTTTACCCCTCAAACTGTGCTGCTCTTCGACATAGTAGCCTCACTGGTCTGTCTTGTTCCCGTGTCCAACAAAACCGAGGTTTAAGGGCCAGTTTAAGAACACTTGCCCCAAAGCCTGGGTTCTGTCTGCTTTTATAAGCTGTCTGTGCATAGTCTCATAATGATAGAGAGGCTAATACCCTGCTTAGGGCTTTTATCAGTAGTTCCTTCCTTCTTGATCCCAAAGAATAATTTTAGCCTGCTTGCCTATCCGTATTCACTGTTTATGATTACCTGGGTTGCATAGAAGGAGTAGGTGTGAGAGGTGGGCCAGAAGTCACTGGAACCTGCAAGAATTTATGTGTCAAAACCAGGTAAACAAATGTCATCTTAAAGTCGAGGGGCCTCCGGTTTCTTATCTACAAACAACGGTTCTACATCTGTTCCCATTTTTAGATCAGTGTTTTGCAACCAGGCTTGGATACCCATTCCCATGGATAAAACTTACTGGGCATACTTTTTCCTCATAGGAGAAACTACTGACCTGGGAACAGATACAGGAGCAAAGTTGAGAAATGAGGTGAAACCATTGGCTAGACTAGTACCTGAGCCTAGACATTTGAACACTTTCTTGCAACGGGATATAGTGGCTAAACTCTTGAAGACAGAATATGATGGTTCAAATTCTGCCTTAGACAATATGTGACTTTGAAGGTATTACTTAATTTCTCAGAGCATCAGAGGGGAGGGAGGAAAAGATGGGTAGTATGATGTGGTACAGAGGTGTCAAACATGGGGCCCACAGCACTCCTGAGTACAGCCCGAAGCAGATTAAAATGTAGTTGGGAAATATTTGGTAAAATATTGTTAACACAATAAAGCATAGATAATATTAATATGTGGTTTTCTGTGTAAATATGTAGCCCACAGGGATCCTTATGTACAGTTTGGTGACATATCTATTTGAGTTTGACACCACTGGCATGGTAGATAAGAGACTACCTAGAGGTCCTGGGGGTCAGGAAGAGTCAGGTTCTGCCCCTATTACATACTGGTTGTGTGACCCTGAGCAAGTCACTTCTTTTTGCACTGAGAATTGCCTATACTGATGAAGTCGTAAATCCTTGATTTTTTAAAAATTTTTATTTCTTTAGGCAATTGGGGTTAAGTGACTTGCCTAGGGTCACACAGCTAGTTAAGTGTTTGGTCTGAGGCCACATTTGAACTCAGGTACTCCTGACTCAGGGCCAGTGCTCTATCCACTTTACTACCTAGCTGCCCCTAAAGAAAGACTTGATTATTTTTTTTAATTTTTATTTCTTTTGAAGTCATAAATCCTGACCAAGAAGAAAAAAAAAGTGTTGGGGTAAATACTATTACTTAATATTAACTAACTCTCAGTGTGGTTGTAAGAAAAAATGCTTTGCAAACCTTGAAAAGCTATACAAGTAAGAATTATTATTCCTTGTCAAAAAGTACAACATGTAAGCCAGGTAACAAATGAAAGTCATTGGTTACAGTTTCAAATATTAACAATTTAATATACCAAATTTGCCTCATTGTTCTCCATGGCCTCCTTGAAGGAAGTCTACTTTCTAATTTTCCCAAACAAAAGGAGTTGAGTCCGTATTTGTTCCTGGATGATTCACAGGCCCAAGATTCAGCTGTACAAGTCTAGTCTGTAAATTCTGTTTCCATTAGATTGTAAGCTCTTTGAGAGCAAGAACTATCTTTTGCCTGTTTTTGTATCACCAGCACTTAGCACAGTGCCTGACACACAGGAAGTGTTTAATAAATGCTATTGATTAGTTATTGGTGCCATCAAAGGAGTACCATTCAGGTACATGGAAAACTTGGGTTTCACTAATTAGTTACACCAATTGTCATGGGCAAGTCAATTCACCTTCTTGGGGTGCATTCAGTTTCCTTATGCACAAGGACCATAATACTTGCACTGCTCCCTTCTCCATAAGGAAAGCAGAGGATAAATGTTAACATACTGTCTTTTTAAGAAGGGAGTCAGTGCTAGCCACAAGCACAAAGAGTGAGTAGAACTTTCTTCTTACTTGGGTGTTATTATTCACTTATGCCACTCTTACAATAGTGCTCAAGAGGAGCTAGATGGAGCATGTATGTGAGAGTTAACACCATTCTAGTACTTTGTGTTGCAATTTCCAGGCTGCTGTGGTGAGTTCCATAAAGGGTAATGACTAAAGTGGGTGCAGATACAGAACTATTGATAAGCCTGAGGAATAATTAACTCCTGCTATTAATATTATGTCTGGGGTTGGTATAGAGACCAGGATCCCTGTAATTTGAACTATAACATTGTTCACTTTGGTCCTTAATGATTGTTTAGAAAGTCTGACAGATGGTCTGCATCATATTTCAACAAAGCAATATTATAATTTTTCAGCCTCACCCATTTAATGTAGTAGAATAAAGGAGGTTGCATGGAATTAGGGCACTTTAGTAGATTAAGTATGTAGGGCATTTACTTATACATTGGGAAATACAGTGTAGACTTCCATCATGGTTAGAAAGACATAACAATTTAGATGGGGGGGGAAGGTGGGGAGAAGGAAGGACTGAAAATCTCTGTTTAAATTTTTAAAAGAAAAAATGGTAGAGGTCTGGTAGTGTCCTGTAGTGGCAAGAATGTTGACTGTGGAGTTAGAAGACCTTTATTCAAATCCTAGTTCTGCTGCTTGCTACCTGTAACGTCAAATACGTAACTTCAAATACATAACTTCTCCTCTCTAAGTCTCTGTTTTCCCATCTCATTTTATAAATGAATTGGTTGGTCTAGATCTCTTTTACTCTGGATTCCTTGATCCTCTTTAGATCCAAGTTCTCTCTACCACCTTATTATTTGAATTCCACACTTAGTATCCTTCAGAGATGATGTGAGGTAGGAAAATTAAGACAGAGGCCCTGGTAGTCTCCAAGGATGTCCTTCAGGGTCTGGGGAGAAATGGAGGAATAGGACAGTGTAATGCAATGGAAAAAGCACTGAATTTGGAGCCGGTGGTTCGAAGTGATCTTATGCAAGTCATAACCTATCTGGGGCTGTTTCCCCATCTGCTGAGAATTCTGTGGGATGGATTCTCTTGCTTGGGGTCTCAGTGCTCCCATCTAAGTGTCGAGATAAGAAAACAAATTTCACTAAGGAAGAAAGGTGGCTTTCCACTAACCAAGCCATAAAGCAGATGGGTAGTTCCTCTGAGGCCGCAGTGAAGAAGCAATAACTGGTTTGGACTGTACATGGTGTGCATCTGTAGGTGTGAAGAGGCCAGTTATTTCAGGGATGTGGACCGAGCTTTTAGCTTCCCTGCCCCCTCCTTTCGGGCTGACCACGGTTTTTAGAGGCCTCAGGGCAGGAGTTGGGGTGGGGATGGGTTAGGTTAGGTTAGGGAATGAACAGACAATAGTTCTTGGTTATTGTTATCTTCTAATTTACCCCTTCCCCCAACCGAGAGGAGGAAGGCCATAGCTTCCTGGCACCCACAGGGCTGGTACTTGGGAAAGGGAGGGGGGAGGTGGCAAGATTGGTGCCAGCTGACGAGCGCAGCTGAGTGCAGCCCTTGGGGCCGGATGATCCACTGACTTCCTTCCCCATGGATGCGCGAGGGGTCGCGGTGGGAGGATGGGAGTAAACTAGGCGGCATTGTCAGGGAAGTTTAGGACTGGTTTGTTTTGTTTTGCTAAACCCGAGGTGGCCCCCCCAAAGCAGGTGGCTCTACGCTTCCTAAGAGGCTCCCGAAAGGAAAGAGACTGGGAGCGAGGGGGTCTCAGGGAGGCGGAGGAGGTCCAGGCAGACTGCAGAGGGGCTGGCGGGGCGGGGCGGGTTGTGCCAGGGGACTGGGGCGCCCGGCAGGTGCTCGGGGCGGAGATGAAGTAGGAGAGAGGAGAAAGCGAGAAGGGAGGGGTACTGCGGGGGAGCCGCGGCATCTGACTGGGGGTGGGGGGAAAGAGGCAGCGGCAGGCGCCTTGCCTGAACACTAGTACGTGTGTGGCGGGGGCGAGGGCGAGGGGGGTGTCTCCGTGCGTGCGTATCTGTGTCCCCACACGCCTGAGGCTGTCTCCGGAAAGATGGTCAGGGCGCCTCTTAGCCCAGGAGGGAAAGTTGGGATGACCGGGAACGACTGCGGAAGGCTCGGGGGAGAACCGCAGTGAGACAGAATTGACAGACAGAATTGACAGACAGACGGACTGGCAGCCAGGCAGGACAGGGGGTGGCTCCGCGGGGGAGAGGGGGGCCGCTGCCACCCGCTGGTGGCTAGCCACAAAGTGACTGCGCCGGGCGCAGCCGAGGCAGCGGCAGAGGCGGCAGCATCCTCGGCGGCGGCGCCCGCTTCATCTCTCTCCGCTGCAGGTGGTGGCCACGACTCCTTCCTCCCCTCGCCCTGGGATCTGCTTTGCCTTCGTCAGAGACCGAAGACGGGAGGTGGGGTTGAGAGGGCGGAGCGGGGCGCGGTGGTGCCTGGTGGCCCCCCAGCCGCTGCTGGCCAGAGGAGGAGGAGGAGGAGGAGGAGGAGGAAGAGAGGCGGGAGGTAGAGGGATGGGCTGCGCTCCCAGCATCCACGTTTCGCAGAGCGGCGTGATCTACTGCCGAGACTCGGACGAGTCCAATTCCCCTCACCAGACCACTACCCTGTCGCAGGGGACGGCGACCACCTTACACGGCCTCTTCATCAAGACCGACGCCGCCGACGCCATCCCTTCGGTGCTAGCCTACCAGAGCCGCCAGGCCGGGGCCCCGAGCACTCGCCGGGAGCGGAGGGAGCTGGGGAGCGGCAGCAGCAGCAGCGCGGGCACCGCATCCTCTGCCCCGACCACCTGCAGGGTGCGCACCCATTACTGCTGCAGCAGCGCCGAGGCCGAGACCCAGACCAGCTACACCAGCGTCAAGGTAAATGTCCAGGTCCCTGGGAGCCGGAGGGGAGGGAGGCACCTTCGGGTGACCGTCAGGGCTCTCTCCGCCACCCCGACCCCTATCCATGCAGCAGGAGCTCCTAGAGTTAAAAAGGGAGTCATCCAGAGTCGAGGGGTCAGACTACTGGTTTGGGTTGAGTAGAAGTTAAGGATGCAGGCACAAGGGAGGCGAAACCAGCAAGCTCTTCACTTTTCATCGAGGGGATGAGGTGGGGGGGGTGTGGGTGGGTGGGTGGAGAAAGAATAAGGTCTAGGGTCCCATGGAGTTTGGACAGAAAAAAAAAAGACTGGGGTAGGTGGGTGTTCTCCTTAAGCTCATTCATGATGTGGATGTGTATGTTGGTAGGGACGGCTGGAGGAGGGAGCCCTGGGAGAAGGAGGTGGGCAGGCTCCGCCTTCATTGAGGGAAAGGGGCAGAAGACTATGGCTCTGTTTATTCAGAAGAGGACAAGGGATTGGTGTCATTGAGAGGAATTCAGCGCAATCTGAGTGAATGAGGGCGAAGCCGCCCCAATTGCTTGAAGCTTATACCGTGGTTTTTCTATTCCTTGTAAATGAGTAAGATGGAGGTAGTGTACCAGAATGTGGTTTGTGTCCCATATTGATGAGCTTATCTCTTGGGGAAGAGCACACACAGTGCTGCAGCTTCAATTGCAGGGAGAGAGAGAGAGAGAGAGAGAGAGAGAGAGAGAAGAGAGAGAGAGAGAGAGAGAGAGAGAGAGAGAGAGAGAGAGAGAGAGAGAGAGAGAGAGAGAGGATTTGTGAATGAATGTAGGTGTTTATATAGTGGTCTGGGGAGAAATGTGGGAAAGGGAGCCGGGGTAGTATCAGAGTGGAAGCTTGAATGATTTTGTTTGGTGTCTTCCATTAGCCCCTTCCTATTTATTGCTTGGATTCTGGAAATTAGATGCTGAGGACCTGGCCAAATAGGGCCTGTTTCCCATGATCAGTTAATACTTGGACCATATGGAGGTGATATGGTGTGCAGTCAGTTGAGTGTGTCTGGGATACTGCTTTACAGAGAAGACATAAAAATCGAGATCCTGACTACTTGAGGATTCAAGGGAGGGTTTTTCTTTTTCTAAGAAGTGAAAGACGTTGAAGGTTTAAAACAGCTCCTGGCTCAAGGGTAGCCTAAAGCCGCTGCTTGCTGCCAGTACAGCTAACATCATTTCCTATTATTATAGGAGAAAAGTGACTTACTATTTTTTAACAGTGTTCTACTGTATTCTTTTAAAGAACTTGAGAACATATGAAGGTCAGCTTGAATTGTGTAGATCTAGGCATTGTAGGATTTTGTTTTCCTTCAATAAACAAGAATGATGATGGCATATTACAATAGGTAGAACGAAAAATAATTTTCCTATCTCTAGGGAACCCTTCACATTAATGGCAATTTTTGCATTTTTAGTAAGAAGTACATGACCTGTTCCAGTGTATCTTAAGACTTCTGGCAAAGGCACAGTTGTATATTCAAGTAGTCAGGAAAGTAGTCCAAACAATTGGCCTAGTATGAGGACTTATAGCTTGTTCACTTCAATGGCCTAAGTCATCAGCTCTTCCCTAGAGGGTGTGGGGAAAAGGCCAAATGAAGCTCGGAAATTTCAGAAATAAATCTAGTGTATTTTTGTAGAAATAATATTTCATTTTGTAATAAAAAGTCTGTCATTGATTTGTAGTTGTTATGAATAGTTTGAAAATTTTTCATTCTACATATTCCTATTGAAAGTTAGAGTAGCATGCCCAGGGAAAAGATATCTGGGTATGAGGTGACATAATTAAACTTTGTTGCAGAGTCATGTTACCAAATGTTATACTTCTACACATCACAGAGGTAATGCAAAAGTTTCCTGGTGTCAAATCACAACCATTTGTGCAATAATCCTGTTATTGGAAAGATATTCTTAAAGCATTGTCAAAAAGAAAAAAAGAACTACCCATTCATATGGATAGATAGATTTATAATTTATAGCAGCATTATTTGTAATTGTCTCAAACTGGAAATAAGCTAATTGTCCAAGAGTTGTATGTGTTGTTGTTGAGTAAATTGTGATATAGCAATATAATAGAGCAGCCCAGTAATGCAATTAAGATAGAGATTTTTTCCTATTATAATTGGATATATGATCTCATTAGTATGAATACTGCCTTTATTGTTTTGTTTAGAAACCTATCTGTGCAACTTCAATTGATAAATGCAAGGAATGCACTGAAATTTGAGGAATCTTTCTTTTCTTTTTCTTTTTCTTTTTCTTTTGGGTGAGTTAATTGGGGGTAAGTGACTTGCCCAGAGTCACACAGCTAATGAGTGTTATGTGTCTGAGGTCACATTTGAACTCAGGTCCTCCTGACTCCAGGGGTGGTGTTCTATCCACTGTGCCACCTAGCTACCTCAGAAATTTGGAAAGACATAAAATAATATAAAGTAGAGGAGCAGTATACATACCAACTACAACTGCATCAAAAGACATGTAACTCACATATAAGGATGACTGAAGATAGGAAATGGAAGAGTAGCTCAAAAATTGTTAGAAGTAACTTGAAGTTACAACATTATTTAGTTAACCCATATAAGTACATTAGTGCCCTTGAAATGTTGTGTAACAGTATATTTCCATGCATACCTTAAACATTCTTAAGCATTTCATGATTCACATTATCGATTATTTGGGATGAGGTGAGACAGACAATTTTTTTAAATTATCATCTTTAAGTATCATGGGGATCAGAGGTTTAGAGCTGGAAGGGACTCTAGAGATTTATTTAACCCAACCTCCTCATTTTACCAATGAGGAAATTGAGGCCCAGAGATGTTCAGACCCTGATCCATGGTCACACAGGTAATAAGTAATAGAGTTAGGATTTGAATATAGGTCATTTGGTTCCCAAACCGGCATGTTTTCCAGCACAGTAAAGTTCTTTCCAATTTAAAAATTGTCAAAGTGGGAAGGTACATAGGTCAAGCCTTTATGATATGGTACAATGACTGTGTTGATGAGCTGGTATCGTTTTTCTGTCTTTCTATATTAATTATAAACCATCCCCTTATTATCCACTTGGTCGCTCTTATTCCCTAGTCTTCAAAAGTATGTGCTTATTCCCTTTCTTCTTTTCATACAAGATCATCTCATTAAAGCTTTTAGAATCATGAGACATTCTGATGTCAAAAAGTAAGGCAAAGCAAACCACTTCTGAATATCTCGTTTGCTAAAAAAAAAATAGATTCTACACATTAATAATTCATGTGCAGTACAGTGATATCACTGGGGTTTCCACTTCTGGTATGAAATACGTTTTTCACTTTACTATTGCTGTAATGCTACATTTTCCCAGCAATTTGATTTTTTTCTTAAAAAAAATATTACTCAGACAGGAGAATCCCACAGAATGCTCACTCCTGGGAATGTGCCAGTACTCCAATTTAGTAATTTCTGTTCAGAAATTCCCAGAGGGAGGGTGTAGCTCACCCTGTAAAGAAGCTGTGATTCTTTTGAGTTTTATTACTTTCTTGCTTTAGCTGTTAATGAAACCCTGTAGTATAGGCATATTTTAAAAAAACACAGTCAGCTCATGATTATCTAAACAAGGATTAACCATGGTGGAACATATTCAGATTTATACTCAGCAAATGGTTTCCCTCTGTCACATAGAAGGTTTGAGGGCCACCTGTCTCCATGTGTGCTCAGAGAGCACAAATTATATTTAATAAGAAAAAAAACAAAATTAGGATGTTAAATCACCTACAAAAGAAAGTGTATAATGCATTTTGAATATAAATGACTTGTGGATGATTTATTAATTAATTCAGCAAGTACATATTAAATACCTAGTTTGTGCATTCTGCTAGGCACTCAGGGTGATATAAAAATAAATGGCATAATCCTTGCCCTCTTGGAGGTTACAACCTAGTAGGAGTATCGTGACATATACAAATTGAGAGATGGCACAAGGAAGGCAAAAATTGTTACCAATAGTTCATTCAGCCTCTAGGTTTTCTACTGATCAGATATGAGCACAAAGCAGGACCTGTGGGCTGGCTTTCCCTGCTGTTTTATGATTACTGTGATACTTCAGTTGTAGGCTTGATTATTCTTAAAGGAAGGAGGAAGAAGGAAGGAGGAGGACAGAGGGACAGGAGGAAGGAAAGAGGAGAAGAAGAGAGAGGTGGGGGAATGAGAGAGAGAAGGACAGAAAGAGAAGAGAAGAAAGGGAGAGAGAAAAGAAAGAAAGCAAGAAGATGAAGAAGAAAAAAGGGGGAGGGGAAGGAGAGAGAGAGAGAGAGGAAGAAGAAGGAGGAGAAGAGAGGAAGAGGAGAGAGAAGAGGGAGAGGAGAGGGAAAGGAAAGGAGAGAAGAAGAGGGGAGAGGAGAGGAGAAAAAAGGAGAGAAGAGGAGCAGAGGGGAGAGGAGAGAGGAGAGGAAAAGGACATGTGTGAGCCAGGTGAGACCTCTTCCTGGTGCACTTTGGATCAGCTGTTTGGGTCTGGTATTCCTGAATGCTGTTCCATGTAGCCTTGTGTTGTTTGTCTCAGGGGGTGATTTGTACCCTAGGTCACATTGCTTAGTCGTCTGAATTCTTGGGCGCAGAGAACACTGAAGGGTTTGGCCATGCTGAATTTGAGCCACAAGGTTTGTGACAGCTGCAACACCTTCTGAGTCATCCCTTACTTTTGTCGGGGGAGGGGATGGTGAGGAGGGAGGGGAGCCTGTGTCAGAAGTCACAGGACCCTGACAGATGTACCTTCACCCTGACCTCTTGCTTTTCAGGGGGGTTACATCATCCTAAGAGGCATGTCTATACCGTTTCCTACACTGTCCTGTATTGAGGTTTCCGTTTGTTATTGTCCTCTGTTTGACTGCCACTTTCCAGCATGCTTTCCCTTGACTACTGCTCTTTCTGCTGCCATAGAAAACAGATCTTGGAAGTGCCTGATGTTATTTGCCTTATTGTGTTTGAGGAGTGCTTCCCCATCTGTTGT